GTAAAATTGTTCGCCCTTATATGCTCGAGTGTCCAATAACGCGTATTTCCCAAACCCTCGATACCCGCCCTCTTCGTCTTCGATCGAACCCCTTTTGGGGGGTATACCTTTCTTCCCTGCAGGTCGGGCCCCGGCAAGCGGCGGGGCGGCCGCGGACCGTCGGCCTGGCCAGCGGCAGCGCTGATCGGCGGGGCGGCCGCGGACCGTCGACCCGACCCAAGAGGGACGGACAGGGGACCGACCACGACGACGACGACGACGACGACGACGACGACGACGACGACGACGTCGAAGACGACGGCGACGACGGCGACGACGAGCGAAAGCGAGAGCGAGAGAGAACGACAGCAGGGCCACGAAGGGCACGTAGTAGGCCACGAAGGGCGACAGCGGGGACACGAAGGGAATGCGTATGGGGCCACGAAGAGCGCGAACGAGCGGGGGCCACGAAGTGCAGATAATGCGGGGCCACAGAAGGCAACCATGGGGCCACAGAGGGTAGCAACTGGGCCACGTAGGACAGTGATGGGGGACACAGATGGCGACAGCGGGGCTACGAAGGGCATGCACATGGGGCCACAACGGGCGCGACTCCTGGGCGCCTGTGTGTCGGGAGCGCGGCGCTTGGGCAAATTGCCGGAAATTCCAACGCAAGGCCATTCTTCAGTAAGTTGCAAGCAAGTCTCCAGCGAGAGCGCGACTCCAGAGCGCCGGGAAAGCGATTCCTGGATCAATTGTAAGGAAGTCCCAAGCGAGAGCGCGACTCCTGAATAACATGCGAGGAAGCCTCGGGCGGGAGCGGGGGTCCAGGCTAAATTGTAAGGAAGTCCTCGGCGGGAGCCGTTGTTGTTGTTGTTGTAACCCGGGGGCCATTGGGCCAGTTCGAGAAGGAAGGCTTCCCTTGTCAATAAAAAGGGTGCGAGCGTCGAGGGGCACACTTTGATTGAGAAAAACAGTATGCACCGGTGGGGGGGGATCAACAACAATTATTCTTCAGAAATGAGAATTCAACAACAACAACAACAACAACAACAACAACAACAATCATTTTACCCGAACGCGTGGTGTTCTCCCCAGTGCCAGGGTTTTCATACGACACCAGGCAATACCCCCACTTCGTGGGGGGGCATTACAAGCTCTACCAAATATCCAAACGACTCTTCGCGACCACCCAAACCCAGCTTCCCGCCCTATGACGTTTGGACACTTCACTTCGTGGCGTGCGGACGACCGTGGCTACTACACTGGCGTGGGGTACACACCCACAGAACTTGGTCACTTATTCGGGGCGCGCATGTGCCCAGCATGGTGCAATTGTGCCATACAATACATAATACAGAGAGACAGAGAGAGAGACAGAGAGCAGACAGAGAGAGAGACAGAGAGAGCGGAGTTGGTCACATTTTTGGGTCAAGTTCCTGGGATGATGGGAATACACAACTCTGTTACGATGTGTCCCGCATGGTATTATTTGACAGGGATGATGGCCCTGGCAGGTGCGCAACCGTTGTCGCAGAAGTTCGAAAAAGTTGCTCGCAAAAGCCCGTTTGACAGAAATGTTTAAAAAGTGTTGGTTTTCCTACGAATCCGCAAGAGCGCGCGGGATGAGATTTTGACATTTTTTGTTGAAAAACCATTGGTTTTTTTGATGTTTTTATGTTAAAAATCGCTCCGAACACTAAGCTTTTGGAAGGATTTCGTCTTGCGCGCGCGAATGTCCACTTTACCTTATTTTTTGCAAGGGATTCTTGAAATTTGATTATATTAGAACAAGAAATGTCATTTTATAGTGTTTTTTGCAAGGGAAAACGGAATACAACAAAACAACCGGATCTGGATCACATCGTTTTACCTGAGGCTTCCTCACGAAAATGATGAAAATGTAGCTGCGGCCTAGGCGGCGCAGGGGGGGCGCGCACCAGGGGGCCCAACAATAATTATTCTTTAGAATTAATAATGTTCAACAACAACAACAGCAGCAGCAGCAGCAGCAGCAGCAACAACAACAACAACGCAACAAACATAATTCTTACCACGGGTTCTCACTTTTGCCACGCACTCAGGGACAATGAATGACCGTTCGGCCCCCTCACCCTGACGTAAGAACAAGTGGCACGCGTGCCCTAGCTCTTGCACCAAGGAGCTGGGAGGGACAGGAGGCATTCGCCTCCTTCCTCCAGGAATTTCCTTCTGTGGCCGGGGGGGGGAGGACGAATGACGAACGAACGAAGGACGACGAAAATAAAGAGGTCCGAGCTCTAGAACACAACTGTGCAAGAAAATAAAATCGTCGGGGCGGAGGGGGCACTGGGCGCGGCTGGGGAGGCCCCACTGGGGTGCGCTGGGGACCACTGGGGGGCGCTGGGGAGGTCCCACTGGGGAGGGAGGGGGGGGCAGGGTGGGCGCCGCGAAAAATAAAATCGTCGGGGCGGAGGGGGCACTGGGCGCGGCTGGGGAGGCCCCACTGGAGGGCGCTGGGGACCACTGGGTGGCGCTGGGGAGGTCCCACTGGGGGGGTGAGGGTGCGTCGCGAAAATAAAATCGTCGAGGCGGAGGGGACACTGGGCGCGGCTGGGGAGGCCCCACTGGGGTGCGCTGGTGACCACTGGGTGGCGCTAGGGAGGTCCCACTGGGAGGGGGGGGGAAGGGTGCGTTGCGAAAAATAAATCGTCGGACAGAGGGGGCACTGGGCGCGGCTGGGGAGGCCCAATTGAGGGCGCTGGGGGCCACTGGTGGGCGCTGGAGAGGTCCCACTGGGGGATGAGGGGGTTGCGTCGTCAAACAATAAAAATCGTCGGGGCGGAGGGGGTCACTGGGCCGCGGCCGGTGACATGACCCCACTGGGGCGCGTGGGGAACCACTGGGGGGCCAGGGGAGGTCCCACAGGGGATGGGGGTGAGGGGTGCGTCGCGAAAAATAAAATCGTCGGGGCGGAGGGGGCACCGGGCGCGGCTGGGAAGGCTCGTCTGGGGGGACCACTGGGGTGCGCTGGGGAGGTCCCACTGGGGAGGGAGGGGCGAGGGGTGCGTCGCGAAAAATTAAATCGTCGGGGCGGAGGGGGCACTGGGCGCGGCTGGGGAGGCCCCACTGGGGGGCGCTGGGGACCACTGGAGGCGCTGGGGAGGTCCCACTGGGAAGGGAGGGGTGCGTCGCGAAAAAAAATCGTCGGGGCGGAGGGGCACGGAGCGCGGCTGGGGAGGCCCCACTGGGGTGCGCTGGGGACCACTGGGGGGCGCTGGGGAGGTCCCACTGGGGAGGGAGGGGGGGGCAGGGTGGGCGCCGCGAAAAATAAAATCGTCGGGGCGGAGGGGGCACTGGGCGCGGCTGGGGAGGCCCCACTGGGGGGCGCTGGGGACCACTGGGGAGCGCTGGGGAGGTCCCACTGGGGGGAGGAGGGGTGCGTCGCGAAAAATAAAATCGTCGGGGCGGAGGGGGCACTGGGCGCGGCTGGGGAGGCCCCACTGGGGGGCGCTGGGGGCCACTGGGGGGGCGCTGGGGAGGTCCCACTGGGGGGGGGGGAGGGGGGCGTCGCGAAAAATAAAATCGTCGGGGCGGAGGGGGGCACTGGGCGCGGAGGCTGGGGGGCGCTGGGGACCACTGGGGGGCGCTGGGGAGGTCCCACTGGGGGGCGCTGTGGGCAGAGGTCCCACTGGGGGAGGGGTGCGTCGCGAAAAATAAAACGGTCGGAGCTCTAGACACCCTGTGCAAGATAATTAAACTAAGTATGAGAGGTCCCTCGGGAGCGTACGTGGGCTTTCGTTGTGAGGGCCTAGATCGGCCGAAGACAGCCCTAGTGGCCTCCGAGCTTGCCCCCAAACGGATCAGGAGGCACCCGAGGGGGCCCTAAGACGGCCCAAGTGGGCCACAAGACGGCCGAAGAGAGCCCCAAGAGGGGTCAAAGATGGCCCCAGGAGCGTCCCCAGAGCGCCCAAGAGGGCCATAAGAGAATTCAAAGAGGACCGCAAGACGGAACAAGCCTGCCAAGACGGCCCAAGAGGCCCCCAGGACGGCCCAACATGTTCCCAACATGATCCCAAACAGAGTTTGAGGAGGAAACCACACTTGTTTCCAGGAGGTGTTTCATTGTTGTAGGGTTTTCGCCTTTTCGAGCCCAGATCGGCCGACGACGGCCCTGAGGGCCTCCGAGCTTGCCCCAAGACTGGCCAGAAAGCTTCCAAGAGGGCCCCAAGACGGCCCCAGAGGGCACCCCCCTGACGACTACAGGGAGCCCCAAGATTGCTCAAGAGGGGCCCAAGGGGGCTCCAAGAGGCCCCGAACAGAATTTCCAGATTGCCGTAGAAGGCCACCAGGAGGGCCGACGACTGCCCAAAGGGGACCCCTAGACAGGCCAAGCCCCCCAAGACTGCTCCAGAGGGCCTCAGAACGGCCCCAGAAGGCCCCAAGACACTAACAAAGGCTCCCAGAGGCCCCCTCCCCCATACGGCCCAATGACAGACGCAGCTTGGACGCCAAGGCTTTCAAGAGCACCAGGTGGCCAGAAAGTTGTTATACAAGTCCGCGACATGACAAGCTATGAGCGAGCAGTGGCGCAGAAAGTTACTAACGCCAAGGCCCCCAATAGCGAGCGGCGACGCAAGCAGCTCTTAACTCCCAGGCTCTCAAGAGCGAACGGAGGCGCAAACAGTTCATCGCACCAATATTCCAAAAAGCGAGCAGTGGCGCAGAAAGCTCTTCACGCAAAGGCTCCCAAGAGTGAACGGTGACGAGACAAAGCTCTTTACACAGAGGCTCCCAGGAGCGAACGGTGACGTGAAAAAGCTCTTAACGTCAAAGCTCCCAAGAGTGAGCGGTGACGTGAAAGAGCTCTCCACACCAAGGATCCCGAGAGCGAGCGACAACGCGTGAAAGTTCTGAACGCCAAGGCCCCCAGGAGCGAACGGCGCCATAAGCCCTCTCGGGCTAGTTCCAGAAGCGCTCGTGCCGTCCCGGTGCCATCCGGTGCCGGCCCAGGTTCCAACACGCCCAAGCGTGCCGATGAGCACGTTGTCGGACAACGCCGTGGGTGCCCGCACGGTTGGTGTCGGTGATTTCGATGGTGACGGGACCATAGACCTTGCGTCAGCGAGCAAAGATGACAACACTCTCGCCTGGTACCCGAATTCGGATGGCAAAGGTGCCTTCAAAGAGAAGCGGATTATAAACGATCAGGCGTTGGGGGCATACAGCCTCTTCCCCATCGACGTGAATCAGGACGGTCATACGGATTTGATCACTGCTTCAAATGCGGATGATACTGTCGCGTTCTACCGCAACACTGGGGATGGGCATTTCGAAGTGATCGTCATTGCTGATGATGCAGACTTTGTCCTCTCCGTTTTCGCGGCCGATCTGGACAATGATGGAGACATTGATGCAGCCTCCGCAAGCTATTTTGACGGAGAAATGCGCTGGTATGAGAATATGGGCAATTCCGTCAATTGGACCAAGCACACACTTTACCAGGGGGCGCAGGGCCACTACGTCTCAGGCGGGGACTTGGATGGCGATGGCGACGTGGACTTGATTGGGACTACGACTGCCGAGAACACAGTGGCCACCTTCGTGGCTGTGACAAGCTGCACTGCTGCCTCACCTAGTGCCGAGTGTTGCCGCACTGGCCAGCAGTGGAATGGCACAGTCTGCACTGTGTGCGAGCCTGGCAGTTATGGAGTTGGAAGCGGCGTCGCCGCCCAATGTGTATCATGCCCCACCAACACCTGCAAAATTCCTGGCCTCACCCAGTTGCCGATTACATGTGCGGCAGACTGCGCGAATGACATCGAGGCGGCCTACGCCGCTTGCGATTGCGAGCCCAATTTTTTCAAAACGGAGGGAGACGTCTGTGCCCCGTGCCCTGAAGGTCAAGAGAAGTTTCCTGGCAAGACGCGTACTTCTTCTGACTTCGCTGCAGACTCCAGTGTCGAGTACTACTGGGAGGGTTTTGACAAGTCTTTATGCACAGTGTACATAGCCGAAACCGACGATTCTGTGCTCCGAATCCTGATTTGGATATTAGGCTCGATTTTCGTAGCGATAGCCCTCGCATGCGCGTGCTTCGGCATGTACAAGCTTAGACGGAGCTGGATCATGAAGACGAAAGCCGAACAGCGTTACCGGATCGTTACCCATGAGCGTATTGCGGCAGCGTGCGCAGCGACACGGACTTGCAAGTACAGTGTTTGTTTCATCAGATACGCGACCTTCAAGAAGCACGGCAAGTTCACCCGGCATGAAGTTCACAGGGAGCGAGGTGAGCTCTTCTGTTTCGACACCTACGATGAAGTCTTCTCTTGGGTTAGCCAAAACGCTACCGTATTCGTTTCGCACCAGTGGCTAGGCTTCGCAGAACCAGACCCAGATAACGTGCATTTTCCAGCCGTTTGTTCGGCCTGCGAGTGCATTTGCGAAAAATATAATTTATCTGAGATGGACCTCTTCGTTTGGGTTGATTACGTCTCAATTCCTCAGACTAATCATTACCTCAAGGCGCTTTCCATCAGTTCGCTTGCCGTGTACGCCTCCATTGCCAGGTACTTTGTCATCGTAGCACCAAAATGCACACATCATGACGACCTAGTCGAGTGCAATTCGGATACCTATCAGAGGCGTGGTTGGTGCCGCTTGGAGCAGTGGGCACGCATGTCAGTCGGAGGGCTTCGGGACATGTACATTCATGAAGATGGCAAGCTGGAGCCGCTCTTGGACAGGGAGCAGTGGTACACAGCAAGCGTCAAGGTCTTCGAAGGGGACTTCACAGTAGAATCGGACAGGTACGAGATCGTCGACACCGTCATGGGATTGTGGTACATCGCCTTACTCAATCAAGGAAACCAGGATACAGACCAGACCGACCTATTGAATCTGGTGAAGGAGAACAAGGCACGTGTCTTCCCGTTTGAATTTTTCGAGGACTACATCGACAAGTTAGAGGCACTTGCTGAAGAGGAGAAGGGCTCGCTGCCGGCATGCAGCCATTCCGGTCTCTTCAGGGCATCGTGCCGTCTTGGCGACGAAAGTTTCAGCAGCACGCCGAACATGTCACGCATGATGTCGAGGAGAAAATCTTTCGAGGACTTCGAGACTGGGGCAGAGGAAGAGGCAGGCCAGTCCTCTTCCGTTGGCCAGAGCGAGGGGGCGCCCGTGGGCTTCCAGCCCACAGGGGGTGAGATCTAAAGACTGCTGGCCGGTCAGACGGGTTGGCCATGTCGCTCTGGCCTGGCCATCGTTGCCTTCTGCACTGAGCGAGCGGCAGGCCAGCATCATTTTAATGGACGTCACATTTTCACGAGTTTTGCTGGGAGTCCCCGCCCGCAGGAATTCTGAGAGGCCTCGGTGGCCATCGTTCTCCAGCTGGGCCTGGGGTTCCGACGAGCACCGATCTGGGCCCGATCATCTTCTCTCCCGCCTCCCTCCCAGCCTCCCTTCCTTCCCTCGTCCCCTTCTCGCCGTTGGTGGCGCGCGCGCCTGGCCGCCCCGCCAGGGCGCCAGGGCAGGGCGTGGTCGCCGACCGCTTCGCGGGCCCAAGGCTTGCGGGCGACGACAGGGGCGAGCAGCCCATGGGGAGAGCAGCGCCTGCACCCAGGGGCGCCGATGGTCCGTGCCCTCGTCGGGGCTCCCCGGCGACCACGTGCAGCGACCGCCCCTGGGCTGTTCGCCCCCACCGTCGCCCCCGACACGGCTCCCCTCCCCCTCCCCCCGCACGAGCGCACGCGGAGGCAGGCGGGTCCCCGACGGCGGCGCGGCCCCCGCGTCGCAGGCGCCCGACCGATGCGACAGCGGCGGCCCCCTGTGCTCGGGGTTTGGCCTCCTCGCGCCCCACGGAAGCCGTGCACCAAAGGTCACTCCTGCCCAGGCTCGCTCTTCCATGCGGTCGGTAAGAGGGGCGTGAGGACTGGTTGCTGGGGGGGGGTACCATGGCTGGGGCCACGATGTCATGGCCCTTTCTCCTCTTCCTCTTTCAGTGCGTCCCCTGGCCCTCCCCCCCCCCCCTCGATCGACGGTCGAGGGCCAGAAGGGAGAGCTCCGCGCGCGCACAGGGCAGCCTCACCCTTACCCCCCGAGCGGCCACACGTGGGAGCGGCCCTTCGCTAGAGCGGCCCTCTGCCGCGCTGCGTTGCAGAGACCTGGATCATCAGGGCTTGGGGTGGTCAAGGGTCCCTCAGAACTTGGCGCTGCATGTTTTCACAACAGGCGTTTTCGCCCAGTTTCGGGCCCCAGGACCCTCGCAGATCGACCTAGCTCGAACTGAAAGATCGAGCCCGGGGCTCTGGTCGTGATTTTTTTGGCTGTTGCAATTGTTTGGCAGCGTCGGATCTGAGGGGTAGAGCCTGCTTTATGCCGTAAGTCCTGGAGGGCCCAACTCGGAGTTGCACAAGACAGTAGTTGCCCTGGATAATTCGGGCGCCCAACCACTCCCGAATCACATCGGGGCGGGGGGTGGTACGGGGTAACCTCTGGGTGGTGCGTCGGGGCCCCAAACAGGATTTACCCCAGACGGGATTTGTCCAGGACAGTTCGGGCGTTCAAGCGTTCGGGAGGTGGAGGGCGCGCCGCGGGGAGGGGGCCGCCACTGTCGAATTCACACTCGACGATCTGCAAGCCGCGCACCAAGGATCACGCTTTCCTTGGGTCGAAGTTGTTGGACGCGTGCATCTCTGCCGACTGCCACGAGCTTCAATAAAGACTCAAGGGCAGAGATGTGGAAGTCCAGTCTTCGTCGGCTTGAATATTGGAGCAGGCCTGCGCGTGTCTGGGCTGGGCGGATCCCACGAGAGAGTACTGCACGCAGCTGGGTCTTCGCCGCGTGCGCAACCCAACCGCAACCCGTTGAGTCTGAGCACAAGCAGCTCCTCCGCTTTCCATACCGTTTCACCTTCGGGGGTGGACAGACCTCCTACCCTGACACGTCGATTAAGGAATTGGCCGTTTTCGGTTCGCGAGAGGGCGTCGCGGCCGTCATTTTTGCGGGTCCAGGTCCGGTTTCGGTCCCAGGCCGTTTTCACTAAGGGGAGGTCTACTAAAGGGAGGTTTGTCCACCGCTGACACCTGCCACGCTCCACCTTGTTCCATTGGCGTTCCATGTCGGAGGTGGTGCTCACGCAGTGCAGGCCGCCTCTGTCGGCGTGCGCCTGCTGGCAGGCACGCGGCAACGTGCACCAGGCAGCTCCTGCGGGGAGCGCAGGCAGAGAGGGAGGAGCAGGAGGTGAAGGATAGGCTGTCTGCTACGGCACGAGCCTGCCAGGGTCGCTTGCCCCCCTCCCCCATGACGAACGCTCGAACCACACGTCAACGAGGGACAGCATCAACATTGATAGCCAGAGTCCAACATCCCCGACCAGCGCGTGTTAAGCCAATGTGGCTCCTACGAGTGTTCGCGTGTCCTCCTGCTCTTGGTCCGCCTGCGACTTCGGCGTCGTCGTCGAGCGTTTCGTCATCGTTGTTGTCGTCCTTCTCCCCCTCCACGTCAATCTCCTTTTTGCCTTCGCCCTTCCTCTTCCATTCCATATATGGCTTCTCCTCCTCATGACCCTCCATTCTTCCTCCCGCTCTTCCCGGCTCCAATAGGAACCCGCTCGCGCGCCGTTGCCTTTTTGTGGCTCGGCGTGCATGCGGTATCGTACATTGTTGAAGGGGAAAGTGCGTACGGTTTGTTCTCTCTCACGTCACAATGGCCGCCATGTCTTCTACCTTTCACCACCCATGCCACCCGTAAGTCCATTGGGTAGCAGCGGCGGGAGCGATCCCAGCTCGCGGTCCACGGGGCTGCGCATAGTGTGGTGTGGACTGAACGCACATTCGCACTCTCCCCAATCTTGCCAGTGGATCCACCCTTCATTCGTTGAACAGCTTGTGTTTATGATTGTTCTGGAGGCTGTCGAGTAATTTGCCCCAGACATTCACTGATGCGATGAGGCAACCGCCGGAGCGTACGAGACGTAACATCCGGCTGCGATGGGAAAGCAGCAGCGGCAGGATACGAGTCGATGCAAAGCGACCCGCCCGCGAGAACGCCACGACGCTTCCACGATTCATCGCACCCCACAGGTACTGGCCATAATTTTCGGCGAAGCTGCTCCCTGGAACCATACCGCATTTTGTGGTGTGTGTGACTGTGTTGGCTGTTTTCATGTGAGCACGTCGCACCACTCGAGTGGAGCACTGCATGTTTGTTGGATCATGTGCACCGCCTTTGGCATCGACCAAGGTTGTTCGCACTACTACGAATGCCACCTGCTTCAACATTGTCTTCGCCCTGCGCAGGCCCGAGCACCAAGACACTTCCGCAGCTCTCATCGTGGCGGAGTCGTTATCGAGGAGGACATTCATCTCGGCGTTCGGGGGCAGCGCGCTATGTATCACCAGCGGCATGTCGCCGATGCGCTTTCGTCCACATGACATTGGACCGCAGCGGGTCAGACACGCATTCGGCGAGCGTTGCAGACACTATGTCCACATGCAGCCATCACGTCGACTACGCCACGACCGTTGCTCGCGGGGGTCCTTCCTGTCAGCTTCTCCCCCGACGAGTTCGGCAACCCCGAGCTGCCACACCTCGTCTGTTTGGTGGCTCTTACCCGGAGCGGACTGCGACGGAAACTTCACCACCATCTACACCGACATTTTTGTTTGGGTGAGCCGTCCAGGCACGCCGCTGGCACCTACTGTTGTCGTGCCGCCCCGAAACATGCGAAATGACCCAGCCTACCTGCTACACCGCGCGCTGCCGTGGCCACGATCCTTTGTCACACTCGGTACCGGCACGCCGCCCGCTCACGTACTCAACGAGGGAACAAAGTTGAGTACGATCGGCTAGGAATTTACGCAGACCTGCGCCTTGAACACAAGACGTGTCCCCCCTCGCGTTGTGGTGCATGCTGTGCGCCCTGGCGGTCGGACGCACGATCCACATATTGCGTGGTTTCAGGCGCGTCTACGCTTTACGCTGAACCATTCGGTCTAGGCGCGAGGCCACGCGGCAATCCGTGCACATTCTGCCACGGCAGCTTCGGACAGAGCGGTGTGCACCGTTGTTCCTTCAGTGGCACTTGTTCTATCACTCAGGGGTCGCTGGTGGGGAGGACGCTTGAGCATTGCCACAGCGCGGTGGTGCAGGCTGGCCTCGCGGTGTACGCCACGTGTGTACACCCATGTGCTGTTCGGCGCGCCCAGGGAGTCGTTTGTGCCCCTGTGATGCAGTTGCGCACCCACGCCGTGCTATGTTGTGGCATTGTTGGTGCTACGCAAGCTGACGCATTGGTTGTGCCCCGCGGTGCCTGCGCACGCGCAGTGCTATGCCCGCGCGCACCTACGCGTCTTGCAGCGCACGGTGGGCACGGGCACGCACAAATGTCAGAGGCAGGCCGCGCATGTGCCCAGCCATGCGCTGTGCTACGCACGCTGGAGTGCCGTTGTGCCCGGCCGTGCGCGTGCGCGCGCGCAGCCTGGCGCACCAAACGCGCTTGCGCCTGGCCAAGCTCGTTTCTAACCACCATTCAGAAGGGCCGCTGGCACCGATGTTGGCTTCTCTCACACACACACACACACACATTCACACACACACACACACACCCAGGCTGCAATCATTTTTGCCACACGGGATGCAGCCCATAGAAAGACTGTGCGCGGGCCAGGTGAGCGGGCATGCGATTTCAGCCCGCGTGCTCGTTCACCAGATTGCCAGCTCCCCGTTGCATGTCTACCTCAATCCACCGACTCAGCCACATCACCGCCTCAGAAAATAGGAGCAGTTGAGGCGCATGCCCGCCGACGCGGGCAGCGCTGCCCCATTGCGCGCTGCATCCCAGCTGCGCATTAACCACGCGGCGCGATCTACCCTCAGCATGCAACGCGCTGCGGGCCCAGCACTTGACTCGCCCGGCGCGTTGTCAATTGCTGGGCCGCCGTCCAGCGGATGAGTGCCCCCATTGAGGTCTCGCCGACCAGTTCAACAGACTGGCGCCCCCTCTCCATGGGCGCGCCCTCTCTGTCCGCGCCGAGAACCCAATGGTCTGATTTAGGTATGCGCCTGTCATTGAGTCCACGCCTGACGATCTCAGGAGCCGAGCTCCACGGCGTTTCCTGATTACTTCCGACAGACCACCAACTCCGCGCAGAGCCGAGCGCAACGCGCCCGCCCAGTGGGCGCATGCACGCCGGCATGCAATTGAGGGGCG